CAGCCACCTAGGGAGGTGGTGAGCTCCCTCTAACCAGCAGTCTTCGGTGAAGGGTTGCCTGAGAGTCGCTGTACATATGGAAGAGGACTACAGTTCGTTGCCCTCTTCCATATGCTGCATCAGCAGCGGAAAGGGAGGCAGGCGAACTCCAGTTCCTTTCACCCATTAGCAGCACCTTCGTATACCAGGAAATCACTATAAAAACATGCAAAGGGTTCTTGCTGTGATATCAGTTTATTTTGATCACAATTCAATGCAAATTCAGCCCATACACCAGATTTTCCTCTTCATAATTTATTATTTATTTATTTATTTATTTCGATTTCTAGACCGCTCATCCCTGAAGGGCTCTGAGCGGTTTACATAGTACACACATAGTAGAATTACATTACCTTACTAGGGCCACATACACTGGGAAAATGACTGCCTATCAGGCACCCGTGGCAGGGGGTTGTTGTTTCCTGCGGAGGATAAGCCCCAAGTCCCAAATATCTACCCTTTTGGTCCCCCTCTGCCCCCTTTGCATCCCCTTCACCTACACCCCGCATGGAGAAGACAGCTAAGGAGTCCCGAGTCGCCCCCTTCTGTTGGCTTCCCCTCTTAGATTCTAACTTCATTTCCAGCTTCCAACACTGATAGAATCCATTGTAGAGAGAATAGAATCCATTTGTTTCTACTGTTCAGGATAAAGCTTGTATTAAGCCGGGAATTCGGCACAGGAACATTCCGCTTCTACTGTGTCTATGGGTTTCAGGAGGTCATTTCCTTTTTCTGTGGCTCCTGTTAGTAAGTCACACAGATTTTTGGTCGCACAGCCTTTGAAGCTGACTGGGTCATAGTTGAACTTGGCTGAGAAGGAGAGAGGAAGAAAGGCTATTCATGCAAATTCTTTCTAGGGATTTGGGGATGAGCATTGTCAAAATGGATGTCAGGGTTTTACTGGGCCTCAGAAAAGAAAGCCACACTTTTTCTTTGCATTTCTGGCAACTTTTTTTGTGTCTCGGTTGTCGGTTCTACTTACGTGCCTGAAGGCCACCGGTGTACGAAATGCATTTATTCTCCTGGCCACGACATCTGACAGTAGCGTCACTCGAACAAGATTCATTTGCGTTAGGGATGCGGGCGAGGCAGCCTGGGCACTGCATCCCATTGAAGGGACGATTCTTTTGAGCCGGTACTGCCAAAAGAGAAAGCCCTTCAGTCAGTGCATGGTCCTGTCACATTCTTCCAAGGTTCTACCATCTAGCCACTTATTCTGTACAAGTCTTAAGAGGGCTTCTGATTCCCGCTTGTGTTCCGTCTTTGGCATCAACTCTGCGTCAAGCACCTGATAAACTGTTTTTTATGCATCAATTTTATCTGGGATGTTCTTCTATGGGCAGTCCAGGTTTCTTACTCTTTATGCGCCTCCCCCCCATAAGTGCCCTTTCAGATGCCGATTGAGTCTTTCCACCTCATTTGAATGATCCAATGGTGGAATTTGCCCCCATCTGTACTATTCATTATACCTAGCGATTGGGGGGGGGGTGTAACCTGGGGAGGGTGGGATTTGGGGAGGGACGGGACCTCAGTCGGGTACAAGGCCATATAGTCCACCTTCAAAAGCAGCCATTTTTGCCAGGGCAACTGATTTCTGCTATTTGGAGACCAGTTGTAATTCTGAGAGATCTCCAGGCACCATCTGGAGGTTTGCAACGCTATTAAGAGAACGTGTGATTATGAGAGATCTTCAGTCCCACCTGGAGGATCGCAACCATAAGATTGGGACAGGAGGGAGAAAGGGAATCTGGAGCTGTGGGTGGTAAAGTTTTTGAATAAAGCACATAGGACATACAGGCTCTTATGCTATCTCTCTCTCTCCCTCCCTCCCTCTCTCTCTCAGGATATCTGTTGTGTGGTAGAGGACCTCTTGTGCTGTAGTGATGCCTCCATGTTTGTAAGTAAAATAAAATACTGGGGAGACTCCCAGAGGTCTCCAGGACCCACTCCTCCCCATGGAAGCCGCCTGGGCAAGCATTAGCCCCTGGAACTTCTCCCTGCTCAAAGAAGTGGGGTAGGAAGGTTTACTTTGCATTGGCCCTAGTTCATCTAAGGGTAATGACAGCAAATATTCCATACTTGAAGGGCGCTTCAAAAAAGACAGATACTTACCTTGGATTTGTCGATTGCAAATATTTTTGTTGCAGCACTTGACTTCCAGGTGGATGTATCCGCCCTGTGGTAAGCTGGCAGTGTAATTGACTGGGTGACAATCTCGACGATTCATGCATCCCAGTTTGTTATATCTTGTCTGATCTCTGTTGTGACCCTCTGGAAAAAGACAGTTGGAAAGACAGGTCTAGATTTGCACAGGCATACAGGAAAAAAAACCCCTTTCCACTCATCTTGTAATGTAAATCCTTTCTCTGTTGTTTCTGTCATCTGTATTCGCCAAATGCACGTGTTTTGAACTCTTTCGAGGACTGCTCTTGAGAGAACAGCTCTGAAAGAACTTGTGATTGACCCAAGGTTACACCAGCAGATGTAAGTAGAGGAATGGGGAATCAAACCCAGTTCTCCCAGATTAGAGTCCGTGCTCTTAACCACTACACCAAACTGTAACTCATAACCTTTAGAAGCAAGTACAAAACATAGGACACCCTCTCTACCACATCAGAGCCTTTAAGCAGATCATTTCCAAAACAGTCCTTCAAAGCCTGATTACATTAACTAAGCAGCAAGCAAGATACACTGTTTTGAAAAGTATTTCCCTCATAAATACTCAGAGATCCTGTGGTCTCCCAACAGTGACATTCACAAACAACGGACAACCCAGAAGACTAAAGATGCATCGGAGTCCTCAACGTGATGCTTAAGCAATGGGGGGGGGGAGAATGAGAAGGCACTTATGTAAACCAAAAACACTGGGACACACTTCAGCTATAAAACTTGGTCTTAAAAGTGCCACTGGACTGTTTTGAATTGCTAGCTATGGGGAGGACACGCAGATCTGCGCAGAAAGAGAGAAAGATAGAAAGAGAGAGAGAGAGAGAAAGAAAGAAAGAAAGAAAGAAAGAAAGAAAGAGAGAGAGAGAGAGAGAGAGAGAGAGAAGAAATAAGGGGGGAAAGAGAAAGAAGGAAAGGAGGGAAAGACAGAAGGAAAAAATGAGGGAAAGAAAGAAAGAGACTGACAGCACCTGGAAAGAGAGAAAGACAAAGAAGGAAAGGAGGGAAAGACAGAAGGAAAAAATGAGGGAAAGAAAGAAAGAGACTGACAGCACCGACTTACCATGCCTTTTGGCGGGGAGGCGTAGACCGGGAAAGGAGGGTTGGGGAGGCCTTTCCTGCACTCCGTGCCTTGGAGCGGACTGGGGAAGACGGTCGGGGGGCGGGCCGCAAAAGAGAAGGAGAGGGCCAGGGCCTTCCCACCCCACCTGCCTGCCTCCCTCGACAGCTCCGGCCATGGCAGGCCCTTGAGGGCTGCTGGGCCATGCTGTGGAGGGGAAGGAGGGCACCAGGTGCCAGGGCCTTCCCATCCCACACCCTCCGGACAGTGCTGATTTATAGGGTTGCCAGCCTCCAGGTGGGGCCTGGGGATCTCCTGCTTTTACCACTGATCTCCAGCCGACAGAGATCAGTTCCCCTGGAGAAAATGGCTGCTTTGAAGGGTGGACTCTATGGCATTGTACTGTGCAGAGGCCCCTTCCCTCCCCAAACCACACCCTCTCCTGGCTCCACCCCCAAAGTCTCCAGGTATTTTCCAATCCAGACTTGGCAACCCTACTGATTTACCTTGCCTTTTGGTGGGGAGGCGCAGTGGAGCAGCAGGCGGCAACAAGACAAGCATGTGCTCTGGTGCTTGTTGCCAGTGCCGCTTCTTCGCTTTTGGAGAGGGAGGGGAGAGGCGAGGGCAGGGGCAGGCTCGGAAGCTGGCCGTAACGCCGTTCTGGGGCATTTCGACCCAAAAATAGCCCTGAGTGCATGTGCCAACCCTCGATGGAGTAAATAATGCTGCTTGGACAGTTTCTGCTCATGAAAACAGTTTAGGATAAAGCAGGATCCTCATCCCCTAGGCTTGCCAACTCCCCTGTTAGGGCGGGGGTCCCCAGATTTGAGATCCCCACCCCCGCTTTTTAAGAATTGGCCAGCGGGGGTCGCTGTAGCAGCAGCCATAGAGACAAAGGCTGGGGAGCCCCAGGTCTCTGACCATCGGATTGGAATGACAGCCCCAGGGTGGAGCAGGGGTGTTCAGGGACTGGAATGAGAGACCACGGAGTGGAATGACAGCCCCTGGGGGAGCAGGAGTGTTCAGGGACTGGAATGAGAGACCACGGAGTGGAATGACAGCCCCAGGGTGGAGCAGGAGTGTTCAGGGACTGGAATGAGAGACCACGGAGTGGAATGACAGTCCCAGGGTGGAGTAGGAGTGTTCAGGGACTGGAATGAGAGACCATGGAGTGGAGTGAGAGCCCCAGGGTGGAGCAGGAGTGTTCAGGGACTGGAATGAGAGACCACGGAGTGGAGTGAGAGCCCTACGGTGGAGCAGGAGTGTTCAAGGACTGGAATGAGAGACCATGGAGTGGAGTGAGAGCCCCAGGGTGGAGTAGGAGTGTTCAGGGACTGGAATAAGAGACCACAGAATGGAATGACAGCCCCTAGGGGTAGCAGGAGTGTTCTGAAACTGGAATGACAGGCCCTAGAGTGGAATGACAGCCCCAGGGTGTAGCAGAAGTGTTCGGAGACTGGAATGAGAGACCATGGACAGGAATGACAGCCTCAGGGTGTAGCAGGAGTTTTCTGGAACTGGAATGACAGGCCCAAGAGTGGGCTGGACAAACACTTGTCAGGGATTCTCTTGGCTGGTCCTGCATTGAGCAGGGGTTTGGACTAGATGGCCCATATGGCCATCCAGAGGGTAGCCCCCCGCTGGATGTGACATCAGAAGGGCTGGAGCTAGGGAAGTGACATCACTTGACCTTTGACCTGGAAGTGGCACCACCACCCCCCAAAGTGTCCTGGCTCCACCCCCAAAGTCCTCAGGTATTTCCTGAGTTGGACTTGGCAACCCTATCATCCCCCCATATCACAGTCCCCATCTGATTCAGGCCATAGTGGTGCTTCTAGTTGAAGCTACCCTTTAGGATTTTCTGCCGTGTTATGGCTTCCAGGCTCCCTTGTGGCCCTGTATTGGTATTTTGTACTGCTCCAGGGCTCCAAGGGAGGTTGGGTCTCCAACAGGCAATCCTCATCAGAGTTACTTCCTGCTATGTCCAATGAAAGTAGTGTGTTTAGACAGGTGTAACTCTGTTTAGAATTGCACTGTTGGGGCAGGATGTTTAGAAAGCTTCCTGGTTTGGTGGGGTTTTGGAAAGCTTTATTGCTGCTATAACGCAATGATAGCAACATGAGTATGACTGAAAGCGGAGAGGCCTAGGATGCTGAGTCATCGTCACGAGAAGGTCAGAGGTGCCTTGCTGGATTTGACTGGTAGACCATGTAGTCCAGTATTGTGTTTTATCAAGAAGGCACCCTGTGCTCTGGAGGGCCAACAAACAGGGCTCAGAAACCAAGTTCTCTCCATGAGGTTGCCTTGTGGGATGGGTATTCCATCTGCCTCTGGCTGTGGGAGGAACCCTTGAACCAATGTGGCTAGTAGCTGCTTTGGACCTCACCTGATCTTGTCACCCTAATGACCCTGAAGAACTCCATACCAGACTTTGAGTTTAATTGGTGTGATGCTGCTGGGGCTTGGTGCTGGTTTATCTCCAGATACGCCAGTATGCCTCCCACTTAGGTCACTGTCCCTTCAAGAAATGTCAACGTACAGCTTAGTCAACATCCTGAGGCCTTCAGAGATGCTGTTAGTCCATCCTCCCTTAGTTGCTCAGCATTTGAAAGCTGTTGAATGCAAGCAAGTTCTCCACATCCAAAAGAAACGTGTTTGTTGCCCTAGGTGAGATCCGTGTTTTGATGCCCCGTTTACAGATGTCAGCAGTGTTCCCTCTAAGCTGAGTTAGTGTGAGCTAGCTCACAGTTTTTTAGCCTCTGGCTCACACATTTTTGCCTTAGCTCAGGAAGGATGGTTTCAGAGCAGACTGATTTCTGCAGCAGCCAAATTGCTTGCTCACAACTTTATTGCCAGTCGCTCACAAAGTAGAATTTTCGCTCACAGGACTCCATAGCTCACAGTCCTCCAATAAAGGTAAAACTGCCCAAATGATAAGTGCCTCTCCTAGGAGTTTAATCAGGGGTCGTTTCATAGAAAAAGAGCTAGGGGAACTCATTAGCATAACTCATTAGCATATGCCACACCCCCTGACATTATCAGAAGTGTGTCATAAGGCCACACCCCCTGACATCACCGCGGGAGTGCAAGGAAGCCCCGCGAAGGCCCTCCCTGGCCCCAGGCAGGCAGGGGTGGGGAGAGGCAGGGAGGAAGCAACTTACCCTCCCTCTTCTCCTGCCTCCTCCTGGTTGAATGAGGGCCGGAAGCGGGGTGGCCGGAAGCAGGGGGCGGGGCTTCGTCGTGTGCCCCACCCCCACACCTCACCCGGGGGAACTGCGATCCCCCGCGATCCCCCCCGAAATGACCTCTGTGTTTAATGAAGGGGAAGTTCTTTCTTACTTACCCAATGGGAAGTCTGTAATCTTGCTATAACAAATTCCATCTTTGGTTTTACATATATCTATGGACTTTTGACTGCAGTCATGTAGGACACAACGGTTACAGCCAGCAACAGGTCTACCTTGAGATGAGACTAAGAGGAAAAGAAATGACAGTAAGAGTCAAACAAATATGAGTGTCAAAGTACTTGACAACAAGCACCAGCATTTCCACTGAGGCCCCATAGTGTTAGCCCAAATCACACTATTTTGGTGCAGATGGTGGACTTATGGGACCCTGTGCATAGGGGAAAGGACACTTATTCTACATAAAACACTAATACCCTACTCAGAAGGAGGAACATTAAATGTTTTAAAAAACATACTAAAGTCCCGGTCACACACAGAAGTTGCTGCGGGACAGCCACAATTGCCAGGGAGATTATACAGGCGTGATCACACGGAAACATCTGGTAAGCGTCACGCACTTGTCGCCAACCAGTATCGTCCGGCCAAAGATACGGAGTTTAAAAGTACCTGGGAAAATCCACTATCAACCGGTTGCGACGGCTGCAGACAGACGATCTCCACGTGATTGCTCCAGAGCGTTCCTCTCGCGTCCCTGCTTCCTGGTTGGAGCGCGCCGGAAACACCCGCCAATGGAAACAATGCCGTCGTGTCTGATCGTATTGGGGCACGTCAAACGCCAATACCCCCCCCCCCCCCCCCCCCCACGTTATCCGGCCCGTGTGACCGGGGCCTAAGTAATTTTAAGGAGAGAATATTTACTGTGTATGAAATTCATGGTGTGAATTAGGGGATATTTAACCCCACTGCTGTTTGTACAAAAACCCCAGTAGCTGGGGGATCCATCTGGATATGTTCCAGACTCTCATCGAGTTTGGAGCCAGGCTACAGCACAGGAAAGATGGCGAACACGGTTTAGAACTCAGTGGTCCCTAAATGTAGGCAAACCATGCTCTCTCCCCAATTTAGGCTTCCATTTGCAATATTGAGCTCCCTACTAATACTGTAAGGAGCTGCGGTGGCTCAAGTAGTTAAGACGTTGAACTGCAGGCTGTAGAAGGTCAGTAGTTCAGCAGTTCGAGACCCGGGTGCTGCATAACGGAGTGAGCTCCCGTCTCTAGTTCCAGCTCCTGCCAACCTAGCACTTCGAAAGCAAGAAATTGCAAGTAGACAAATAGGTACCACTTTGGTGGGAAGGGAACAGCGTTTCGCGCGCCTTGGTGCTTAGTCATGCCGGCCACATGACCACGGAAACGTCTTCGGACAGCGCTGGCTCTTTGGCTTTGAAATGGAGATGAGCACCGCAACCCTAGAGACGGACTCAACTGGCTTTCGAACAAGGGAACCTTTACCTTTTTATTAATACTGTACAAGGCACAATTGCAGCCAGACAGCATAGGAGAAATGTTTTGAAGTGCTTAGACTTGTTACCCTCCCCATGTTTTGAGTGGTGGGAAGCTCCAGGGTTTGATCTGCTACTTGGGCTGCTTCTTCTAGGAAGCAGCACCGGCGGCGTAAGACATTTCGTTTGGTAACATTTGCATTCTTTCCAGATGTGCAAGTAGAGGGGAAAGGGAACTTCTACATGACAGGAGAACTATCCCACAGCAGTTCCCCAGAGTGGCCCAAAGCCTGCCAGGTGCTTCATCCAACTCACACTTCTCTGCCTGTTTATTTGTGGCATATTTATCTTGCCTTTCCTTGAAGATTCTCTGGGGCTGGGCAATAAACATGGTGTGTTGGCTACGGGGTGAGAGAGCAGAGGGGGAAGGTGGGCTCTGAGGCCACCGCCGTCTGGACTGAAGACTATCGACTCCCCCCACTTTAGCCTCTCCTATAGATTCTTTAAACCCCAACCACCCATAATCAACTAAAGGGGGGGGGGGAGACAGAAGCTTTGATTAAAGGAGATCCCTAAATGTCTCTTCTCTGGAAACCTGCTAGACAAAGGCTATACTTATTTGAGAGGTAAATAGAAATGATCTCCCCCCCCTAGATATTTGACTAGAGAGACACGACAGAGATGGAAACGAACCACAAAGTCTTATTTAACAGAATGTATGTAATAGGGTCACTGCTTTCTGTGGATGGCTATAACACATAAAGTAAAACTGGCTCTAAGTTTCATCCCCCCCAAAAAAAGGTTACACACCTTTCTCCAATGAGAGTACTTTGCAGCTGAACTTCAAGTAACATCAATAAACCCTGAGGGGAGATATAATTCTCCTCTCTCCTGACAGGATATCTCAGCAGGTTCAAGGCTGGTCTGTTACCACACAGAGCTTCTGTTCACAGTGCCATATTTATCATGCCCTTCTTTCATGAAGATCTGGGCAAAACACCAGGTCCTCCCATCCTTCCCATTTTTCTGCAACAGCCCTGCAAGGCAGGTTAGTTTCAGATGAATCTAATAACCATCAGGCTTGTTTTACTGCACTGCTAGTCAATTGGCTGTAACAATAAATTTGATTTGATTTGATAACCATCAGTCGGCCATCAGTTGCTGACCCACCACTTCGCCAATGTGGGGATACAGGGGCTTGCCTTGCAATGGCTTGCTTCTTTTCTCTAGGATCAGGGACAAAGGGTGGTGCTAGGGGAACAGCAGTCCAGGAGGCACCCGCTTGAGTGCGGTGTGCCTCAGGGGGCAGTGCTTTCCCCAAAGCTGTTTAACATCTATATGTGCCCCCTTGCCCAGATTGCCCGGAGGTGTGGGCTGGGGTGTCACCAGTACACTGATGACATCCAACTCTATCTGATGTTGGGTGGTCAATCAGACTCCAGTTCGGAAGATCTGGACTGGGCATTGCAAGTCGTGGCTGGTTGGCTTAGACTGAGCTGGCTGAAACTAAACCCAGCGAAGACAGAGGTCCTATGCCTGAGTTGGGGTGGTTTGGGGATGGGCATCCCGCTACCAACCTTTGATGGGGCACCATTGGTGCCAGCGCTGGAGGTGAGGAGTTTGGGAGTGCTCCTGGATCCCTCCTTAACTATGGAGGCCCAGGTTGCAACCACTGCTAAGTTGCCCTTTTACCATCTTCGGCTGATTTGGCAATTGGTTCCCTTCCTCGACTGTGATGATCTGGCTACAGTGATCCATGCGATGGTCACCTCGAGATTAGACTACTGTAATGCTCTCTACATGGGGCTGCCCTTGTCGCAAATTTGGAGGCTGCAGCTAGTGCAGAATGCCGCGGCCAGGCTCTTGATGGGCCTCCCTAGATGGGAGCACATCCAGCCGGTGGTGAAGGCACTGCACTGGCTGCCAATAGCATACCGAATTCACTTCAAGGTGCTGGTTCTTACCTTTAAAGCCCTATATGGCCAGGGTCCAACATACCTGAGAGACCACCTTTCCCCATACATACCCCCAAAAGCATTATGGTCAGGGTCACAACATTGATTAATTATCCAAGGCCCTAAGGATGCCAGGCTTGCTGTTAGCAGGGCTAGGGCCTTTTCAGTGGGGGCTCCTACCTGGTGGAATTAGCTCTCAGAGGAGATCAGGGCCCTGTAGGACCTTGTACAGTTCCGCAGGGCCTGCAAGACGGAGCTCTTCCACCAGGCTTTCAAGTAGGAGCCGCCCACCACTACCATCAACCATTATTATTATTAACATCATGGTACTACGTTGGCCCTCCATGAGATCGAGCCAGAGCATCGTGGGAGGCCGGAATACCGCTGAATTGGGACTCTAGTATTGCATCATAGTATGCCATCTCAAACTGACTGAAGAACGACCATTATTGCGAGCATTTTAACTGTGTGATATATGATTGTTTTATCTTGTTTTTAAATGTTTTATGCTGATTTGGCACATGTTGGTGTTAACTGAGCTGCCCTGAGCCCATTTGTGGGGAGGGCGGGATACAAATCTAAACAACAACAACAACAACAACAACAACAACAACAACAACAACAACAATAATAATAATAATAATAATAATAATAATAATAATAATAGGCCAATATCAAAAACCTAGTTTAAACTTTTACAACAATACATGTATTTATTAGAATGGAAGTTTAAAACAAACAAGGGCCCAATGAAAGCCTTGTTGAAACGTTCAAGTGGCCTGAACACAAGGGCCAATACACATGACCTGATGTGTTTCTGCCCTATTGGGGGCCTTCTTCAGAGGTCAAACAGCTTGAGGTACACGTCACAATATTACATAAGACAATAAGATAACCAATAAGTTAACCCTGGGCCAAGAAAAGAAAAGTTAAGCAGCAAGATCAATAGACAGAAGACAAAGATGTTTGTGAGGCCTCTAAAGGTGAGAGTCATGTGTCCGGTGCCAAATGCACAGCTGCTGAATTAGAACATCTTCCGATTCTGGTCCAAAAAGCACCTGTGTGGGCTACCTTAGTAAGAGCTAGAGGGTCCTCAAGCAAATAGCAGTGGGCCAAGTTTGTTTTCCCGTCCCTGTATCTTATTTAGACTCAGAGGAATGCCTGGCCCAAGGAATAATTTGTACCAAGTCTCCAAAGTCTTAATCCAATACTATGGCCACTACACACACTGCCTCTAGTCTCTCTGTGACAACATATAGCTGTGTTTCTTCTTGTACAGATGCAAACCTGTCCCTTCCCTTCAGTTATTGGAGGAGTGCTGTTGGTTCTCCCAAACCCTAATGGGTGCTTGGAGAAAGCCGTTGGGTAACACTTGAGAGACTGGCTGAGACAATCCCAACAGTCCTTTATAAATATAACTGTGCCTTTTGTCATTGGCCACTTTCTGCTGTGTGTGTTAAGACAGAGTGATCCGCAGAAATCAGAACATTCTCTCTATTTAGTCTCTTGATGCTAGAATAGGTGTAGCCTCATAGAGAATTAGGTATAGCGTAGGGCTTGAGATCGGATGTCAATGCTGGTGTATGCCTTGTATTGCAATTCTGGTCTATATTTATATGTACAAGTTTATATTTGTGGAGGCAGTTCCTGTTTATGTGTTGTACTATGCTTAAACTCAATAAACAATTTTAAAAAAAGAAAGAAAAGAAATCAGAACAGAAGATTGCTGCAGTATGAATTTCATTGGGTTAACACCATGATTGTAAACGTGAATGAGAACTTCTGAGTTTGTGTGTACCATGCAAAGAGTTGGAGGAAAAC